ATTGTCATGAGGTACCACCACTAGACAGAACTACAGGCAACTAATGAGAGAGAGAGACAGAGAGAGAGAGAGAGAGAGAGAGAGAGAGAGAGAGAAGAGAGAAGTATCTCCTAGATATGAGTCTTCTAATTGGTTCTTCAGTACAGAGTTATCAAACTAAAATACACACCCAAACAACAAAATGGTGTCAGGAGGTAATAATCATATATTTAGGAAGTTATAAATACATATGCAACAATAATAAAATCATGCCATCAATTCCAGAAGATATTATTGGGACTGTGGAAGGGTTAGAGGGAGAAAATGGAAGGTGAAATGTGATTGTTATTTAATTAGACTTTTAGGGATTGGAAGATGAGCTCAGGAGTTATGAGTGCTTACTGTTTTGCCAGAGAACTCAGGTTCGGTTACAGGCACATTCATATGGTCACACAAATGTCTTTGATTCCAGATCTAAGACATTCAAGGCCTCCTCTGGACTTTAGGAAACAAAATGTGTGTGGTGTCATAGTGTTCTGGTAAATTTTTATTGCCAGCTTGACATAAACTAGCATCACCTTGGGAGACTTTCAATTTAGGAGCTATATTGATCTGATGGGTCTGCAGTGGTGTCTGTGAGGGATACTTTGGATGGATTTGGTAGGGCCTAGCCGAGAATGGGCATCACCATTCCTTAGCAGGTATGCCTGTTTTATATAAGAATGCTAACTGTCTTGGGCTGGAGAGATGGTTCAGAAGGTAAGAGCACTGGCTGCTCTTCCAGAGGACCTGGGATCAATTCCCAGTACCCACATAGCAACTCACAACTGTCTGTGACTCTGGTTTCAGAGGATCTGATACCCTCATACCAATGCAAATAAAATAAAGTTAAATTGTAAAAAAAAAAGAATGCTGTCTCAAAAAGGTAACCCCTCAAAAGAATACTAACTGATCATGAGACAGTAATCAGATTTTTCTATAGTTCCTGCTATGGCTTCCTGCAATGATGGATGGATGTGACATGGAAGTAAAATCCAAATTAATGTTTTCTTTGCCTCAGTTGCTTTCTATCATGGAACTTATCACAACAGGAAGCAGCTAAAAATACATAGTAATGTCAGAAAACTCTACTGCATTTAAACTATACCACTGTTTAAAAGGTGATCAAATTCCAACTATTTGAAGTTCAGCTCCTTCTCTAGCATCATATCTTCCTGCCTGCTGCCTTGCTTCCAACCATGATGATTGTAATGATAACTCTTTCTGCCAAGTGGGCACCCGAAATAACACACAGACTCTTATATTAATTACAATGCTGTTGGCCAATGACTAGGATTTCTTATCTGCTATCTCTGTCTTACGTATCAACCATAATTATTTATATATTTTATAAAGACTTATCTGATTGAGGACACCAGTGGCATGCATCCTCTCTTGTCAGGCTCACACGGCAGCTCCAGAGAAGAGAGCAGGAGGAAGAGGAAGAGAGCAATTTCCTGCTTGTTCTGCTTATATTCTGAGTCTGCCTGCTATATCACTTCCTGCCTGAATCACAAGACTTCTTTTTACTACATTTCCCAGAATCCTCCTCGACTCCTAGTCCCACCTAACTTGCTTCCCTATTGGCCAACAGTACCTTATTTATCAACCAATAAGACAAACATATACACAGAAGGACCTTCCCATCACACGATGATGGATTAAACCTCTGAATTGTAAGGGAGCCGACACAGTAACATTCTTTACATACAGCTATATATCTCTCTTTCCATACATATATTTCTTTCCTACATGACCATATATCTTTAACAGTTACATCTCTTTTCACATGGCTACATATCATTTTTTATATACATTTTTCTTCTACATCTCTTTTCTATACAGCTTCATCTTCCTTGTCTCCACACGGTTACATTCTTCATACATTCTCCACATAATTACATACCTTCACATTTTTCTTACATTTCTGTTTCAGCATACATACCCTCATTCACACCCTGCACAGCTTTTTCCAGCAGCTCCCTACTTAGATTAACATAGCTTCCTCTCTCTATACCACTGCTCCTCTCACAGCCAAACTCTGGGCAATTATAGGTTACATTTTCAGGGCCAGAACCATTCTCATAACACATGATATGTATGTGAGGGTGGTACAGTCATAGTAGTAGGCATGTGATATGCATGTAGAGTGGTGAATACAGTAGGACTACAAAGAAAAAAAAACAACTGAAAAAAAAAGGCTGAGCGGTGGTGGCACATGCCTTTAATCCCAGCACTCAGTAGGCAGAGGCAGGAAGATCTTACATCTTGACTCACAGGCCTACTTCCACAGTGACACACTTCTTCCAACATGGCCACACCCTCTCTAACAAAGCCACACCTCCTAATAGTGCCACTTCCTTTGGGGATTTTTTTTTCAAACCACCACAAGGTGTCTTCAAGGACATCTATGGTAGAAGATTCCATATCATGTCAGCCTGGCTGTTAAGACTAACCCTCCTAATATGTGCACTGTTTTAAGAGCCAGTAGCCCTTAAGGATGTGATTCACCTATGTCTTTTCAGAGAAAATTGTTTCTGTATTCCCTTGAAAAAGTCCTGAACATACTACCCCTTGCTTTCAGAGAAATGACTTTTGTTGACCCTATTTGGAATTCTTCTCTCTACCCCATGCAAACTTCAGAAGAGGCTGATAAAGTTCAGCAGGATAGGAGAATTGGCAGCATCATCAGAGCACAGAACTCCTTTCTCAGTACACTTACAATTTCTTAGAAACATAACTTACAAAGAGAGAGTATTACATACATATTAAGCTTCTAAAAAGAATTCAGCAATAAGAACCAGAATGAGTAGAACAACAGGACAACATGTATAGGTGGTGTAAGAACGACATAGAAGAATATAAAAAGAGTAAGGTATGAAGATTCGTCATTCCTAAAAAGCTCGATTTTACATCAGATACTTGTGATGTTACCTAATTTAGAAACAAGAGAATTCTTTCATTTAATGAATACTTATAAGATTATAAATACAAATATTGCAAAGGTTGAATAACAGCTACAGTGGTTCCTAAGCCTGAGAAAAAGGCTTAGGCTAATTTACAAGTAATATGATTGACTATCAAAATTAATAATATACTGCTCAAAGCTTGGTGATTTGCCTGGACTAAGATATTATCTAAAATAACTTGAAACCACAAGTTGCTGCCAGCCTGAGAACAGGCTGCTATATTAGGCTTGCTTAAGCTGAAATGATCTGTAGAATTCTAGGAATAGGGATACGGGGTTGATAATAATATCTGTTTTGTCTGGGCTTAACCTGTAATCCTGGGCATGCTAGTGGATTATGCCCAAAACAAATTAATGTGACTTGTATCTGTTTAGAAATCACGAATGTCTCTAAAGTCTAAATGTCTTTATAAATAAAGACATTTTCTAATAGCTATTCAGTCAGATTTACAAAGTCTCCCCATCTGACTCAACCCTCCCCTCTCCTGATCCTTACTTCCTCTCTGGAACCTGTTCACTGCTGGGTCTGGCCCCTAGCAGAAGCCTATATAGGGACAAGGGGAGAAGGAGTGCTGTGTGTTCTCTCTTTGCCTGTTCGTCCTGGCCTTGTCAGCACATCCATTCCTTCACTGGCATTGGAGGCTACTTCTTCAGGATTCCAGCCTCTATAGAAGACCAGCTGAGACACTCGGGCTCATGGGTATGAGTAACTACTAGATTGTTGTACTTTGCATTCACAAATAGTCATTGTTGGACTGCAGAGTATAAGTCATTCCAAAAATTCACATACATGCATCCATACATTTCAGAACTGACATAATGGTCCCGGAAAGCCTTACCCCGCAGGGATGAGAGCTTCCCTGTAGCTGCAGAAAGAGTCTCCCTCTTCCCCCTCTATTCTTCCTCACCTCAGACACCAGGCACACATAAGGTACCCTGCTGCAAATGTAGGAAAAACACCCATCGTGATGAAATAAAATAGGTAAATCAAACGTGAGTGTCAGTAACCTCATTCTGTGGAATATCTTAGTTTTGAAAGAATTATTTCATGGCTCTGGAATCAACAGCTGGCATGGTAAGTTCCCAAGGATAACTTGTTTGGTGTATCAGCATCATCACTAGAGAAAGACCCTTGTAGAGCTGCTTGTTAGCAGTCTGAGATGCTGAGGTTTGTGGGTATTTACTCTAAGTGAAGAGACTTTCTTCATGACCATGGGCAAAGAAAACCTCTTCCGAAGTTTAAGGGTTGCTTTTCATATCTATGAATTCTTGGTGGAGTGCACATGGCATGCCTGTCTATTTTATCTGTCCATTGAGTAATTGTATTCCCTTATTTGTGTGTTTTAATTATATTGGCAGAAAACGGATACACTTAAACATGAAGTGTGACAAAGTCATAGACTTTTACCTCATCCGTAATCTTGAGGTTTTCTGTCAAGCACTACATATGTTTCCTGTGCTTGAACCTACTTGGGGCCTGTTTCTACCCCAAGTCCTGTCCCCCCGCCCCTTTGGGGAAAGAGATTGTAATGTACAGAGCAGGTGGAGAATACAGGGTGTGCAATGCAGTGCATCCCAATTCCCAGAGCACATTGAAATGCAGTGAAATGCCAAAACGGAAATAGGTTCATTCCAGAGGGTATGGAGAATATATTGGGGTTTTTGTTTTTGAATTTGTTGTTGTTTATTTTTGCTACCTTGTTTGTTTGTCTTGATTTTTCGAGACAGGTTTTCTTTGGGTACTATTGTTCGTGTTGGAACTAGTTCTCTGGACCAGGATGCACATAATGATCACGATTAAAAATGCCTGCCACCATGCCGGGCTTCTTTGTTTCGTTTTGGGTCAAGGCCTTACCATGTAGGTTTTACTAAATGTCTTTGAATTCACACAAGTCGGCCTTCTTCGAGAGTGGGGGAAGTCAGGGTTTGAGCCTGAGCTTTGCTGAAATGTTTTGATACTTTTCACTGAGCGAGTGCAGATCACCAATCCCGGATCATATTACTAAAAGGAATGAACTGTCCAATCAGGAGCACGGTTACTCGCAGCCTGCGTCCCGGAAGCCTTTCTTAGTCTGTCAGGATCTGTTTTGGGCGACTCTGTGTTCGGCTGACTCTGGTGCTCTCCAGGAGGACACCGAGCCAAGTCAGAAGCACGAAATGGTGAGTGTGTCTTGGACGACTGGAATCTTGGGTGACCGACTTGGGACAGATGGTTTTGCGTGGTCAGCAGCTGGACTTTCCCTGGAGCTGTGCAGTCCAGTGGAAGAAGGAGTCTGGTCCTGTGCCCATTTGTGCTTGAAGTGTGCACCCCACAGGCAGCCTTGAGCCACGAGTCCGCACTCTTCTGGTGAAGCTGCTTCCCCGCCATCCCCAGCACTCTCGGTTTAGTCCTTGCGGTGACTTGCACTCCACAGACCTTGCAGCGCTGTCGGGTTGGAGATGCCGAGTCCAGACTGTGCTGTGTAGGGACCAGGGTGTTCTGTGCAGTTCACCTTCTCTTGTGCTTGCTCTTTGTGGGTGCTAGGTTTTATCCGTTATCACTGCGGATTTAATTTCTGTCTCCCTCCCTCTCCGCCCTCATCTGGTCCGCCTCAGAATTGCTCCCCTAAGCCTCCTAGCGTTAGAGAATTTTTTCACAAAGCAGTGTCTCTACTCCTTAACTTGTCATTCAGTATGGTTTTAAGAATTTCCCTTTTGTATTCCTGGTTTTGTTGTTGTTGTTTTGTTTTGTTTTGCTTTAGTTTTTTAAATTTTATTTTAGATTTATTTTGTGTGAGTTTTGCCTGTATATATGTCTTTGTACCATGTCCATGCTTGGTGGTGCCTTTGGATCCCATGGAACTGGAGTTATAGCTGGTTGTGAACCACTTTGTGGGTGCTAGGTACTGAAGCCAGGTCCTCTGCAAGAACAGCAAGTGCTTTTAACCACTGAGCCACTTCTCCAGCCCACCTTGTTTTGCTTTAGTTTTACAAAATGATAATGTTCGAGAATTTTTTTCTTTTTCTCATGACTGCAGTTGTCTAAAATTATGTCTGAAGAAATAGAGGTTTCAATTTGCTTCATATTTAGCTCACAGTGATTTTTTTATATATTTTCATTTTATTGAAAATAGTTTCTATTCTTAGACAACCTACCCGGATTATTGTTTCCTTTCCCTCTTATCCCCCCAGTTCCTCCCCTCCTTGTCCACTCCCTTTCTGTCTCTCATTAAAAAAAGAACAGGCTTCTAAGGAATCGTAGCCAAACATGACAACATAAAATATAATGAGAAAACAAAGCAGAAAACATCACAACAACGCATCCCCCATGGAAGGAAAAGAGCCCTAAGAACAAGTACAACAATCAGAGACACACCCTCAGATGACCCATAGAAGTACTAAGTTAAAGGCTGTAATATATACACAGAGGACCTGGTCCAGATCCATGAGGTCCCTATGCTTGGTGCTTCAGACTCTGTGTGTTCACATGAGCCTTCCTTAGTTGACTCAGAGGCCTTGTTCTCTGGGTGCCTTCCATCCCCTCTGAATCTTACACTCTTTCCACATCCTCTTCCTTGGGGTTCCCTGATGTCTGAGGGGAGGGATTTGATGGGAACCTCCCATTTAAACTTTCTCTCCAGGTAATATATGGCTGTGGGGCTCTGCCCCTCTTCCCATCTGCTGTAAGAGGAAGCTTCTCTGATGATGACTGAGCAAGGCACTGACCTATGATTTTAGCAAAATGTCATTAGCAGTCATCTTATTGATACTTTTATTTTTAGAACAGTAGTATTTGGTTTTACCCTGGGTCTCCGGGCTATCTAGTGTCTGGTTCTTGGTTACCCAAGCAGTGTCTGGTGTGACTTCTGTTTCATGAACTGAACCTTAAGTCAAATCAGACATTGGTTGGTTACTCCCACAAGCTTTGTGCCACCATTGTCCTAGCATATTTTGTAGGCAGGACCTACAGGTCAAAGGGTTTGTGACTGGGTTGGTGTTTACATTTCTCTTTTGGTGGTCTTCAGAGTACCTTTCTGTACAAAAGACACTAGAATATAGGGGTTTAGGCTCCATGTGGGTACCAACTCCGTTTCTCAATGATCAGTGAGATGTACGGGTGTTGTTCTCAGCAATGGGGCCCCACTATCAAATTGGCCAACAACTGAGTTGTGTACAGTGGTAAGTAGGTAAGTATGAACTTTGTATTCTTCTACACACCAACATGCAGTTTGACTAGCAGCATTTGTTGAAGATGTTTTTTTTTTTTCCAATGTGCATTTCTGGCTTCTTTATCCAAAATCAGGTGTCTAGAGATATGTGGATTATGTCGTGGTTTTCAATTTGATTCCATTGATCAGCTTCTCTGTTTTTATGTCAACATCATGCAGTTTTTACTACTATACCTTTGTAGTACAACATGAAATCAGGAATATTGAGACCTGACCCACCCCCAGTAGTTCTTTTATTGTTCAGAATTGTTTTAGCTAGCCTGAGTACTTTGTTTTTCCATATGAAGTTTGCTTTTCCAAGGTCTGTGAAGAATTGCTTTGGAATTTTGATGGAGCTTGCATTGAATCTATAGATTGCTTTTGATGGAATGGCTATTTTTATTATGTGAAGGCTACTGATCCATGAGCATAGGAGAGTGTTCAATCTTCTGATATCCTCTTCAATTTCTTTCTTTAAAGACTTGAAGTTTTTTCTGGGTGTTGGTGTTGCACACCTTTATAGTACTCAGGAGGCAGAGGCAGGCGGATCTCTGTGAGTTCAAGGCCAGCCTGGTCTATAGACTGAGTGCCAGGATAGTCTCCAAACTACACAGAGAATAAGACTTGAAGTTTTATCACACATCTCTTTCATTTGCTTGGTTAGAGTTACCTTAATGTATTTTTTATATTATTTGAGATGGTTATGAAAGTGATGTTTCCCTGATTTCTTTCTCAGTCCACTAATCATTTGTGTATATGAAAGCTACTGATGATCATTTTGAGTTAATCTAGTATCCAGCTGAGTTCCTTCTCAATAATCATATTTGTTTCCCTTATGTCTTTGGCCATTGACCTTACTTGAAACTAAACTGTTCATGTTTAACATACAGAATTATTATTTCTGTAATTGATGTAGTTGTAAGTCATTAATAAATCGCTGTTCAGATTAATGTTGTTCTAAATAACACATGAAAAAAACAAAAATAGAGAAGGGGAAACATAATTTTTCCCTTAAATTTCAAGTGGCTGGAGATTTAGGGCAGTAAAATTGTCCTACATTCAAACTGAGGAATCCTACATTGTTTGTTATTCATAAGAGTCATCTATTAATCTGATTTTCTTTCCTATTGATTTCTGTCTTAGTTCAGGTTTCTATTACAGTAACAAAACACCACGATCAAAAAGCAAGTTGAGGAAAGGGTTTATTCAGCTTATACTTTCATATTAGTGTTCATCATCAAAGCAAGTCAATATAGAAACTCAAGCAGGGCAGGGACCTAAAGGCAGGAACTGATGCAGAGGCCATGGAGGAGTACTGCTTACTAGCTTGATCCCCATGGCTTGCTTGTCCTGCTTTCTTATAGAACCCAGGACCAGTGCAGCCCAGAGATGGCACCATCCACAGTGAGTTGGATGTCCACCTAAAAAAAAAAAATGCCCTACAGATCTTATGGGGGCATTTTCTCAATCAAGACTCCTTCTTCTCCAATGACTCTAGCTTGTGTGAAGTTGACCTGAAACCAACCAGTACAATTTCCTATCCATTCCTGGTGAATAAAGTAGCAAGTATGGTCCATCCTCAGCCTACCTGTATTGTGGGACATGCAGGCCTCAGAAAAGTGACTTAAGGCAGGAGTCCATTTCATATCTCAATTGAAGGGTACAGTCCATAAAATGTGGAACTCAGATCAAACACAATTTTAGGAATGAAGTGTAGTTGTCTGTCAGCTCCCTTCTTCCACTAATGTAATCCCTATACTGTTCACAAAGCACTGCCTCTCAAGTCCCTGTGTTGTCTTGGGTGTGACTGAGTTCTATAGGATCACATATTTTAAATCTTGTTCATCAGTTAGTGGAACTGTTTGGAACATTTTTAGGAAATGTGGCTGTATTGTAGGAGGTGTGTCAATGATGGTGATCTGGGAGGTTTGAAAAGGCCATGCCAGGCATAGTGTCCATCTTTTTACCTGCTGCCTTTGGATAAGGAGTAAAACATTCAGCTACTGTTCGAACTCTATGTCTTTCTGCTTTCCACTATGATAATCATTGACTAACCTTCTAATAGGTTTCCTGTAATCTGATAATAAATAGGGTTCTCTGCCAACATAGTAAGCCAGATCAAGCTGAATTAAAAGTAAAAGCAAGGTTTATTTGGGTTAAGTGCTCCTGGGTAATGCTCATGGGAAGAGGACAGGAGAGAAATCACATGGTTGCTCTAAAGCAGGGGCCTTAAATACCCTGTAGGCAAGAGGTGGTGATGCATTTCCCACAAGCTAGGTTCATGCTCAATTATAATGCTTTCGGTGGGCTCTTAGGGAGCTGACAGCCTCTGGCTGCCGTGATCACCAGGAATGTGGAAGTGGACCTTTTGGAGGTCTTTCTGAGAGAGCAGCCTTAGTAGAGGGAGGATGAGGCCTAGTTGGAGATTCCAGCTGTACACCCTATAAAAATTGTACATACGGCCCCATTAAATGCTTTCTTTTATAATAGTTGATTGATGATAATGTTTCTCCTAGCAGGTGAATAGTAACTGAGACAGTGGGTCTTCCTGTATTACATCAAGTAATCAAGATAGCATCCCACAGACATTCTTTAGTTAATCCTATAGAAAGAATCATTTAGAGGTGTTTTCAGAAGCATAGATGCTAGTTGATTCTGTGTCCTATCAGCCTGTTGATTACAACTAACCCTCCTAATATATGCACTCTTAGGAGCCAGTAACCTTTGAAGATGTGGCTGTGGACTTCACTGTAGGAGAATGGGCATTGTTGGATTCTACTCAAAAGAAGCTCTACAGTACTGTGATGGAGGAAACATTTTTGAACCTAATCTCCATAGGTAAAAAAAAAAAATAGTGTTGTGATTTGGATTCTTGAAGGGACTGTGTGGTGAATTTCATGTATACCCATGTTATAAGACCTAGTTTGTAACTTTTTTTTATGTTCAATGTGAATGTCATAAAGTATTCTGGATTTTCTTCTAGGGAAGGCACTAAAAGAAAATATTGAAGAGGACCGCAAAGAACTCAGCGGAAATATGGGGTAATTTATATTCCGTAGAACAAAATTTGTATCAAACATTTGGGAATCGCGATACAACTGAGATCCTGCCATATGCTCCAAATACACCTAAGTGAAAAATGATACTACACAAATTCCTGTAATGGAGCAGTGATTTGCCATTCAATATTTGAGTATCCCATCTGTGTAATCTATTAATATCACAAATATGCCATGGAACATTAAGCTCTGAAAGCTTTTCCCATAGTTTATTACACCCAACTTCCCTTCATATCCAAAAGTATTTACTGTCTTTCTATAAATTATTCTGAGTTTTTTAAAGATTAGAGATGCAATTTATTTGCTTGATTTTTATGTGACAAAAAACAATAACAACAACAACAACAAAACAAACCCTCTAAGGTGGAGCTCATTTTTGCTTACACTTACTTGTCATAGTCCCATAGAGGGATACCAGGACAGACCTGGGAGGAATCTGGAGGTGTGAACTGAAGCAGAGGTGATGGAGAAAACTTCTGTTTACTGGTGGGCTCCTTATCCATTACTCAACTCCTGGGTTATTCAACTCTGGCCCACATCTCCAGGGAGACACCACCCCCAGTGGGCTGGGGCACTCTGCTTGAACCAGTGATCAAGAAAATGCTTCCACAGATAGGCCTAAATGTCAATCTGATAAAGGAATTTTCTCCTTTCTGGTTTCTTCTTCTCAGATGTGTGTCCTAGTTTGTGTCAAGTTGACCAAAACTAACTAGCAGATATCTTTCCTATACAGCTCATGCACTTCTGCCCATGGGCACACTACCCAGCATTGTTGAATCCCTCCTTTGTCAATCAAGAATGTGAAAATGCTCCCACAGACTTGTTTACAAGCTAATCTGAGCCCTTTTCTCAATTGAGGGTCCCTATTCTCAGCTGACCCTAGATGGATCTAGTTGATAACTAACTAACCAACACTGGCTGAGTATGTAGAATGCCTGAAGACCACCAAGTTTCACCACTACAAGTGATTGCTATGAGTGTCTTCTAACATGAGGGCTTTGCTTCCATGTTCACTCCTTTTATGCCACGCATATGTGTTCATGGGTTTGTATTCTTGTATGCACCCCTTGTGATAAAAAAAAAATGTTTGTGGAAGGCAGAAGAGGGCAAGATCCTTTAGATCAAGAATAAAAGTAACTTGTGAGCCCTCCACATGAATGCTGGTCATCCAAATCTGTCTGCTGGAAGACTAACACTTGTTCTTAATATCAAAGCCTGTGATAACAGTTCTTTCATAATTCTTATACAAGTAAAGTCCACAGTCTACTTCTTTATACATGACAGGGTCTGTACATGTATTTTGCCCCTGAGAGTATAGTTGTAGTGGTCCACACCAGCAGTCTAATATTTTTCTAGGCTACAACAATGCTTTTCTCATTTTTTTTTTTTTTTTTGTAGAGCTCAGGTGACTGAGAAAGCCTGTGGATATGAATGTGCTAGTAGGTGTAATACAAATCAGAAACCTATTACAGAGAATAGCATCAATGAAGACATGCCTCCAACAATAAGAGTTCATGGAAGCCCATTGCACGTAAGAAACATTATTAGTCATTCATCCTCACGTGGGTGTTTCAGAGAACAAACAAGAGAGATACAATCTGTATGTAAGGAAGCTATGGCAAAAGCTCTTACACATCAGATACATTGGAAAGATATCCGTCATTCTGAATCACTTCTAGTACTGGAAACTTCTCCAAAGGAGAAAACCTGTAAAAGTCAACAATGTAATGAAGCCTATAGGAATCTCCCCTCTGAGCATCCTCAGGAGAGAAGTCACACTCGAGATAAACTCAATGAGAATGTATTAGTGAGGTACACGTATGGCCAGAATGATGGACTCCATAAAGAAGTGAAACCATTTGTGGGCAAGCTCTATGAAAAATCCGAGATTAATTCCACTAGCATTATAAACCATGAAAAAAATCATATTGGAGAGAAAAGGTACATTTGTAGTCAACGTGGCAAAACATTTAATTATGCAAAATGTTTAGAAAACCATATAGTAACTCACAAAGGAGAGAAGCTTTATGCTTGTAAACATTTTGGAAAAGCCTTCACACAATACAGTTATCACAACAGTAATGAAAGCAGTCGCATGGGACAGAATCCTTATACATGTAAATATTGTGGAAAAGGTTTCACCAGTTCCACTTATCGAAACATTCATGAAAGAATTCACACTGGTGAAAAGCCTTATGCATGTAAGTATTGTGGAAAAGCCTTCACCAGTTCTGCTTATTGTAATATTCATGAAAGAATTCACAGTGGAGAAAAGCCTTATGCCTGTACGCATTGCGGAAAAGCCTTCAGCGACTTAAGTCGTCGTAACAGACATGAACGGAGTCACACTGGAGAAAATCCTTATGCATGTAGGTATTGTGGAAAAGCCTTCAGTGACTCTAGTCGTCGTAACAGACATGAAAGGATTCACACTGGAGAGAAGCCTTATACATGTAAGCATTGTGGGAAAACCTTCACCAATTTCAGTTCATGTAAAGCTCATGAAAGAGTTCACACTGGAGAGAAGCCTTATGCATGTAAGATTTGTGGAAAAGCATTTACCCGCTCTAATCAACTGAGCATTCATGAAAGAGTTCACAGTGGACAGAAGCCTTATGCATGTAAACATTGTGGGAAAACCTTCAAAACTTCTACTTGTCGAAACTTACATGAAAAAATTCACACTGGAGAGAAATCCTTTGTCTGTAAAACATGTGGGAAACTGTTCATTCAGTCTAGTGATCTTAACAAGCATGAAAGAGTTCACTCTAAAGACAAGCCTTATGCATGTAAGCATTGTGGAAAATTCTTTAGTGACTCCAGTAGTCGTTATAGACATGAAAGGCGTCACACTGGAGAGAAGCCTTTTGCATATAAGCATTGTTGACAGACCAATTTCAGTTTGTGTAAGGCTTACAAAATAGTCCACACTGGAGTGAAGCATTGTGCATGTAAGCATTGTGGAAAAGCATTTAGCTGCTCTAGTCATCTGAACATTCATGAAAAAAAGACTCATACTGCAGAAAAACCTAATTCATGTAAACATTGTAGAAAAACCTCCAACTTGCATGAAAAAAAAAAAAACACACGTGAGAAAACCTTTGAGAGACTTCATTAACTCTAGTGATTTTAAAAGGCATGAAAGAGTTCACTCAAAAGACAGGCCTTACGCTTCACACTAGTTGATAGCATAATTGTGGTAAGCATTGTGGATAACCGTCATTATTTCCACTTGACACAGAATAATAAAAAAAAACATTCACATTGGAGAAAAACCTCTGTTTGTAAACATTTGGTAAACTCTCGTTATTTTATCAAGCATACAAAATCTCGCCCTGGTGAGGAATTTTATCAACAGTACCAATATGGTATAGTCTTCACCATTTCCAGTTTCTGTATTCCTCATGCAAGAATTTACACTTGAAAAGGCCTAATGCATATATGCATTTAAGTATTGTGCAAAAGCCTTCATCAGTTCCTTTTGCCATGATGTTCTTAAGAATTCACCCTGGAGACAGGCCTTATTTACTTAGCTGTGGAAAACCCTTAGCAGCCACCTTTCCTATTCTACTCAAAATTGTTTCCCACTGGAAAAATATTCACAGTTTTAAAAACCTTGTCATCTTAAACAGTCTGTCCCTGAATTTCTGTGTTTCAAATCTATGCTCAAACTCAAAATGATCTCACAGTGAAAACTGCAGTGTGTAACCAGTATTAACTCTCTGTCACTGTGTTGCTGGTGGTTTTCTTGTCCTGCCAGGTCCTGCTGCTGCTTCAGCACCAAAGGAACACAAACTGTTGGCCAGTGGCTAGGGCTTCTTATTAGCTAGCTCTGTCTTAATTATTAACCCATAACTACTAGTCTATATATTTCTATATGACCTTATCTTACCAGAGAACACCTGGTGCATCCCATCCTCCCAGCTCCTCTATGGTGTCTCTTTCTGCCTACCTTTCCTAGAATTCTCCTCATCTCCAAGTCCCGCCTAGCTTCTTGCCTCTACGGCTATTGGCCAAACAGTGTTTTATTTATCAACCAATAAAAGAAACATATATACAGAAGGACATCCCCTATCAACACTGCATTGCTCAAGTTGCTTCTATTGTGAGTATGAAAGAAGAATGTGGTTAGAACATGGGATGCATCAGCTAGTAATGGTTCATGCTAGAAAAATGTTATTATCTCAGTTACCTCCTTGGATCTTATATTGTGGAAATAGAGACATAATTCCTACAAGTAGTCTCCTGAGAATCACATGCATACTTTGTAATGAACACAGAGAGAGTAAAAAAGAGATACAAATGAGTAAAGAAATAACGACATGTTTATATAAGAGTGGAGACATAACTAACAAACACAGTATTTTAATGTTGAAAGATACAGATTAGAAGACCTGCAAAAGTGTAATTCTAACCCCCAGTATTTTACTGTATGTAGCATGAAAACCATTTGCACTATGAGTGATACTATCTGTATTTTGGTGTGTGTGTGTGTGTGTGTGTGTGTGTGTGTGTGTATGTGTGTGTGTGTGTGTCTTTTTTTGTTTGTTTCTTTAACCATGGCTATGGCAGTAGCTTTGAAAACAGGTGTAGCAGTGGTGTGCTTGAGAATGGCCAATACACAAATAAGTGTGAAACTTTGTTCCCATTGATGGACTTGTTTGAGGATGATCAGAAGGTATGGCCTGTGGTGAATATCTGTCACTCTAGGCAAGATTGAGATTTCTAAAAGCAATGACACTGCTAGTTTGTCTCTCTGCCTCCTGATTGTAGATTATCCTGTGAGCTGTCAGTTGTTCCTGACACCATGCCTTTGCTCCACCAGAACAGATTCTAACACTCTGCAATCTAACACTTCTTTTTAAAACTTGATTTACTTAAAAAAATAAAAAAATTGTGATTTGTAACAGCTTTAGAAAAGAAACTCAGATATCCATCCACCCTGGTGCTTTAAGAAGAATCAAATCTGATCAAAAGAAATTTTCATGGCAAAACTGAAAATTCTGGTTGTCATTTAAATGTGCTAAAAGTTGTGAAACTTGAATCAAAAATCAGCAATGAATTAAATGCTTTCTGGAAGTTAGTCCAAAAGTTTGAGAAACAGCTTGAAAGAAGTACATTCACATTTTCAGCATTTTATTATTGGCCCATTCCCAAACAGGTTTGCTTTGCATTATCTTTTTATTAGGAAGGCAAGGTATGGTTTCTGTGGTTACTGCAAGTTATCTTCTCACATCTGAAGTTTTGGAGCTAGGAAGCCCAAACAAGAGAAAAGAGATTTATCTTTCTGAGTCTGAGTTAGCACATATGTTTTGTAGTTGATTCCATCTACCAAAACATTTTCTGCCTTAAGATTTTTTGTGCCTGAGTAGTTTTCCATTGGTAATTGGGGAAGAAACTAGAGAGGGGAATAGCTCGATGTGACTGACAGGAGGGGGAAAGTGTGAAAACTGACAGAGATTTCTAATTAGAGATGAAACGAAGACAGTCAATATGGTAGAGGAATGAGGAGTAAACCCAGTGCTGTTTGGTAATGGTGAAGAAGTAGTTCTTTTGTATATACCCAAAACTATACCATGTATAGTTTTCATAATATATAGCATCTATTATTATATATAATAGTGGTATATGATACTCGCATAGTTTATAATGCAAGTGTAAATAAAAGTATGTACACACTCATATATATACAAAGTCAAATATATTAAATGAAACTATGTTACTTGGCATGATTCTCCCTCCCCTCAAGAACCCTACAGTAATAAAAAAAAAAAAAACAGGCATGAGAAATCTCCATTTCATCATTATTCATGATATATAATCCCCCAAGTAATTTAAGGTATTACTCTTTCTTTTGGTCATTTCTGAGAGACCAAGTCTAAGTTGTATTTGGTTAACCATTCCACAATTTGGATGTAGGACTGGGAAGGTTTGAGTTGTGTCTAACACCAAAACCATCTTCATTAGTCTAATTGGCTTAGTAATATACACAGTGAAATTTGCCAAGTAAGAGAAGCAGTCAGTAGCTCTCCCCAACAGTGACATCTGTTGTGGCTTCTATGAGAATGTCCCCCATAGGGATATTGTTTTACCAGTTGATAGACCTGGTGGGAAGTATTAGATGTGACCTACTTGCAGATGGCTAGTCACTGAGGTGGCTTTAATGCTTCAGTGTTGACATTGTGCTTGCAAGTTAACTCTTTCTGCCTCCAGCTTTCAGATCACGATGTAAGCTCCTAGCTAGTGTCCTGCCAGCAACCATATTACCTATACTGATAATCCATGGACTCTAACCTCTGGAACCATGAGTGTCCAGAAATATTTTCTCTCATAAGTTGCTTTGGTCATGAAATATGAAATAGCAATAGGAAAATAGCAAAGAACCCAAAATGAATTCAAACAGTGATCAGCCTGGCTAGCTATTAATATAAGCGATAGTGTTCATCCATGTCTTGTTGGTATAATTATATTTAAAGTCTTCCCAACATGAGGGAAATCATGCCTGGTACTAGAAACGTAACCAATGAATCAAGATAGTGATATCATGGATTTTAGAGAACCTACTTCTGCTACTTCACTAGGACAGCATAATTCCTGAGTCTTAAAATGTACTTTTATGCTCACAGAAACATAGCTCATGCCTTGCTTTAAATAATCTCTGTAGAGAAAACAGACAATTCCAGCCTTGTTTCATTCTTTCTTCTTGCATTTTAAAGAAAGGGTGATGAAGATTTGGATATTTTCCATTTTTACAGTGATCTAGTTAATGAATAAAAGTTGTATCTGCACTCTTCAGTATTAGTTTCCTTCCCATTACTTCTTACCTATTTTCTCTAACTTTGTTGACAAGAACTTAATTTTTTAATTTTGTTTGTTGAAAGAATGGATTAATTGAATGTGATACCAGATCCCCAAACAAGGAAAACAGGTATATTAATACCTCTGTTGTGATACGGATGGCTGGCAGTTCGTCCTCTGGCGTAAACTGTTAACAAATGTCATGTGACCAAGGAAAACTGTAAGCATGATAGTGGTAAGGTCTGGGAGGATGTCCTTTAGGAGTTGTGCTATGATATCTCTCTCTCTCTCTCTCTTGGTAATCATCAAATAACAACCACTTATTGATACATGCTTAAAAGAATTATCACATCTAAGTAGTAACCCTTATGATATTAATCTTTTAGATTACTTTTCAATCACTTAATGATAATGTTCCCATACAATAGATCTAAAGAAGGGAACGCTAGACCTCCAGAGTGGGTTCTTTTGTTTTATCGACATTTCAGATTACATAGCTATTGGCTTCTAAAGAAAACTTAATTTACCCTGTCTCCAAATATTATGGCCACATGTTCACATTTCCCCAATCATTCCAGATTCAATAAAATATTAATAACATATCTGCTAGAGCAAATTACATATTGTCTTATAAAAACAAGTCAAGTTTAAACCCTGAGAGTGGTGGCTCCTTATGGATCCCACCTTTAGCTGGGAAGCTTCATCCTGGATGACTAATGTAAATCAGCTTCAGTGGAATTCACACTACCCCAATTCTGAGAAGCCTTTTGGTCTTTGTTCTAGCCAAATTAACTGGAGTCAACCGATGCAGTAATTCAATTGCATTCTACTATTAGTAATATTCAAACTGCTTCAGCTACTGGGAAGTTTAGCAGGTCTCAAATAAGCTCCAACCTTTGCAGCTGTTGATACCTGTCAGTATGATATTTAGTGTGCCACTGAGTGTTTTATAATATCTTAAAGTGTTACTTATTTCTATAAAACAAATATTACTTTGATCATGAAAAAGAATTTTTATTCAAGTATAAGAGCTAAACACTTACAGAAATTTTAAAATTAATTTATGTTGAGAAATTTTTAATTTCATTTCATTTATGGTATTCTTTTAAAAATTTTTTTAATATAGCCCTGAACCTACCACAGTTTTTTTTTAAGATTTATTTATTATGTATACAGTGTTCTGCCTACATGTATACCTCCCACAGGCCAGAGAGGGCATCATATCTCATTACAGATGCTTGTTAACCACCATGTGGTTGCTGGGAACTGAACTCAGGACCTCTGGAAGAGCAGGCAGTGCTCTTATCCTCTGAGCCATCTCTCCAGCCCCCATTTATGGTAATTCTTATGAGTAACCAAAATGGCATATATTTATTGTTTGGCATTTGGGATGACTCTGGATAATATATATAGCAAGTCTATGTTGGATGAATTGCTATGCCTTTCAGGCATACTTCTGTACATTTTTAATCATATTTTTCATGTGTATGGATATCTGGCTTGCATTTTGTCAGTGCCTTGTGTGCATATCTTGTGCCCAGGAGGTCCACTGTGCTCTTTCTCTATGAAATATCATTTTCTTTATGAGTATGATAGAAAATACAACACCAAACAAGAGTCATGGTCAAAATCTTAAGTATGCTTAATCTATACTAATAAAATTGTCTATTCTGGTAAGTATTAATAATTAATTAATATCTCATACTTTGAAGATAATTTATCTTAAAAGTTACAACATTTAACTGAACTTATAACAGTAAAAAGTAAGACTGATGCTCTTCTCTTTAATAACAGGTTTTCCCAAGTTTGATTGTGTCCACTTTAAATTAGTGAAAATACTTAGTTTTAATACCAAGATAGTCGTGTTTGTTCAGCCTCCTTAAAGTCTTACCAGTAATCAGTTTAGGCTATACATCATTGACAGACAGGGTTTTTAACTTAGATTACAGCCATATCTCCTGACTCTGGTAAAGAGGAGGTGTGAGAAGGAAGAACCAGAGGTTGGATCTAAATAGAATACACTCTGCACTGTGAAGAGTCAAGATGAAATGTAAACGCCATCAATGTTCGAAAGAGAAGTAACATGATCCACAATGTCCCTCACTAATCTCAAGGCAAAAGCACTGTTAAAGGTTAAAGGAGCTGGGAGATGCACCCAAATACCCAAGACTCAAGGACTGCAATCTAATTGGGCCTTAACATCACTTGCTATCATAATAACAACAAATAACAATCTTTTATGAAATCAAGAAAAACAAAAAACAGTTATGATGGCAGTAGTTAATTTTTGGCCAAGATATGCCATGGGAACACCTCAATTCCAAAAAATGGTTGGTAGGGATAGACTGCCTGCACCACGAGCTAACTTAGGTTATTTTGTGTTATTCCTCTTTGTTTCTTTGCTTGCTTGCTTGCTTGATTTTTCATAGTTTTTCCCCCCTCATAGTGGAAATAACAAACTATAGATTGTCCATGGTCCCTTCATTAGAAAAAATATAAAAATCCCAACCTCTAGTAGGGGAATAATTACAAATAGGCCATAAAACAGTTACACCAGCCCGCATAAACTTTCCAGAGTTCAAAACGCCACCCTGACCTCTCCTGAGGTGAGTGTACCCTCTGCTCCTGCCTGACACCTGTCCAACTCCCCCATAACCCGCTGTGCCTGTGCTTGGCATAGAGTGGACCCGCCCAGACAGGGAGGATTTCCCTGCATCCGGAAACACCTCATTCTTCCTTCCCCCTCCAAGCCACACTGACCCCTGATGAGTGAAGAGACTACCAGTAGAGGCAAGACAATCCAGAGCTGCAGACATTGAAGTCTTGGCCCCCACACACCACCGGGTGAGAAGAGGAGATAGAGAGACCCCACCTGCACCCACTGGAAGAAGAGACAGGAAGAAGACAGAATAAGAACACACTCAACAAAAGACCAATATGACACCACCAGAAGCTAGGGACACCAGCAAGATCTGAAAAGCACAACACATAGGAAAAAAGAAGAGACAGACCTAAAAATCTACTTTATGAAGATGTTCAAGACCCTTAAAGAAGAAACAAGAAAATCTCTTAAAGAAATAGAAGAAAAACAAAAAAAAAATCAAGAAATAAGTAATTCTCTTAAATAATCTAAAGAAAGCCAATAGAAAACAACCAAACAAGTTAAGGAAGCACTCGAAACAGTTCAAGGCATGAAAGCAGAAATAGAAACAATAAAGAAATCACTAAATGAAAGGCTGGATAAATGATCAGGAACTAAGGATGTGCATATGACCAATAGAATACAAGCGATGGAAGAGAGAATCAAGACTCCTTAGAGGATATACAGTCATTAACCAAAGAAAATCTTAACTCCAACAAATCCCTAACACAATATATCCAGGAAATAGAGGACACCGTGAAAAGACCAAACCTAAGAATAATAGGTATAGAAGAAGGCAAAGAAATTCAGCTGAAAGGTATAGAAAGCTTATTCAACAAAATCATTGAAGAAAACTTTCCCAACCTAAAAAAGGATATGCCTATGAAATTACAAGAAGCTTACAGAACACCAAATAGATTGGACCATAAAAAGAAGTCCCCTTCCCACATAATAATCAAAACACCAAACTTACAGAATAAAGAGAAAATATTAAGAGCAGCAAAGGAAAAAGGCCAAGTAACATATAAAGGAAAAGCTATCTGAACTACACCCACTTTCTCAGTGGAAACTTTGAAAGCAGAAGGTCCTGGATAGATGTCCAACAAACACTAAGGGAACATGGATGCCAACCCAGCAAAGCTTTCAATCACTATAGATGGAGAAAACAAAATATTCCATGACAAAACCAGATTTAAACAAAACATATCCACAAATCCAGCCCTACAGAAACTTCTGGAAGGAAAACTCCAACCCAACAAAGATAACTACACTCACAAAAACATAGGCAATAATAACCCAACTTTACCAAACATGAAAAGAAACAGGAGGGAGAAATCC